ACTGAATGTCCACCTGTGAAGGCCTGGCAGTACATAGTGTGTGGCCTGGATAGGCAGGCTGGGATGCTCAGAGTAAGTCAGAGTCCCCAGGTTGGGCTGGGGACTTCTGGAGGAGGCATCTGGGAGAATCCTCTAAGTGTCAGTCTTAAGATAACAATTGAGGACAGGTCATAGGAAGTCCCCAGCCCAGACACAGGACCAGCAGAGTGGGAACAAAGTCTGCAAGAGGGAGAGTTGATGGTCAGGGCCCAGGACAGGGCCACTGGCGGGCCTAGCAGTGCATTCAGAAAAGCCCTCCAAGAGAAGGACCGCTTCTGGCTGGTCTGAGGCAGGGACAAAGGTAGAGCTGAATCAAGTTGGAGAAAGTGGTAAGCCAGAGACATGGAAGAGAAAGCTCTGTCTCTTCTTGTCCATGGACCTGGAAAGGAAAAAGCTGCCCAGGGGCTGGGCAGGAGGAGCAGGGAAAGCTGGGGCAGCATGGAGATAACATGCGTGTTGACCCCAGGGGCAGGGTGGGTGTGGAGGGCGGAGGCTGGCCGGGAGCATGTCCCCAGCTGTGGCTGGGAAACGTTTCCTGTCTCCTGGCCAGGGGGGTCATTAATAATCGTTTACACGCCACAGGCAGCACGGAGGCCAGCCGGGGAGCAGCATGGTGCGGGGCTGGAGCCCAGCCCAGTGACCGGTGGAGCTGCGTTCTGGGAAATACAGAATTGCTGTGTCCTGTCACCTTACTGTGAAACCTGGGCACGTCCCCCAACCCGTCTGGTCTCTGGTAACACTGGTGAAAGGAGGGTCTAAAGAAGAGACTTGTCTGGAGTCCCCTCCCTGCTCTGGGCCTCGGTTTCTCTAGATGGCAGATGGGCTGCCAGCCCAACAGGGGGTGATGACCATCTGATGATTGATGTGGCCATCTGGACTCTGTCGAGCCCAGCTCAGGACGTGCGGGATGGGTAGACCCGGCCCAGTCTCCGAAGAGCTTGTGTTCTGATTGGGAGCCAGAGCCTACAACCATGGGGTGCACGCCCGGAGCCTCCCAGAACCACGTGCAAACGTCTGGCTGGGGAAACAGACTGGAGGGTTGTGCGCCCAGGGCCTAGGGGGCTGACAGTGTGGCTGGGATGGCAGGATGGGCTTTCTCCAGCACGGGAGGTGGGAGCCCCAGGAAACCTATTTGGGCCCTGCTGTGTCAAACTGGGCCTGCCTGGTGCATAGCAGGTGCACAGTAAATGCTGTAGCCAAGCGAACGAGTTCATCTGTTAAATGAGACCCCTGTGAAAGGAGCCTGGGATCTGGAAAGAGCCGCCTAACAAATGACGGTGACAACGGCAGTCATTCTGGCTGAACACAAGGGCGGTGGGAAGAGGTGATGTGAAAGCTTGAGAAGGCTGGAGGCCCAGGGACGGCCCTCCAAAGCCCGACAGGACTGCTTGGGAAGGATCAACTGCCCTCAAGATCCCTTTTTCCGGTTGACCCAGAATCTTCCTCAGCCCCAGGCCACACTTCTCTGCTTACTCAACACCCCCTTCCAGGCCCAGCTTAAGCCCACTCACAGCAGGGAACCTTTTGGAAGGTGATACTGAGGTGGTGCCCCAATCCCCTCTGCTGATGACTCTGGTAGTCTGGGTCTTCCAACTGTCAGGAGGCCTGGCCTTTCTTCTTCCCAAATACCTGTCAGCAGGCCACTTGCTAAGTCTTCTCCATCGCTTTCTCTGGAGGGTTTGACCTGGGTCCTCCTACTGACTGCCATCTCCTCTATCAGACTAGAGGGTACCCAAAGTGTAACCAGACTTCCTTTTTCAGATAAGGGTCTCTGTGAGGACAGATGTGAGGTCAACAAGAGGAGATAGATTAAGGCCTTCCTGGTTGACTCCCAGCCCAGGGACACTCCCTGAGGGCCACACGGAGAAGAGAAAAGGACAGGCTGGCATGCAGAAGGGAGCTCCCGGATGCTTGGCACCCCAGAGATGATGTGAGCCAGAAAGGCTACTGTGCCTCCCATTGGACGAAGACCTCACAGTTGGCAAATTCACCCAGTGCCATGCCCAGTCCAAGCTGCTTTTAAGCCAAGGAGGCACCCCTTGGGATACAACCCAGGCCCCACGGCTTGGGCCTGAACCACTGTGGCACATTGTGAGGGGGTAGTAAACACAGTGAGCCTACAACACGTGTATCCTTTCTCCGCCCTCCTCCAAAGCCCAGCCCAAAACACAACACAGACCCAAAGGAAAAGAACAAAGCTTCCCAGACCACGACATCACCCGCCGCCTGCCTGTCCAGCGCCTGCTCCACCGGAAACCCAAGACAAAGGCCTTGGTCAACGTGAAGAGGATGAAGGGCAAAGGGTAGAGGCAGCTTAGCTTGGGGTGGGCCATGACAGAACGTCACTGGGGATCTCTGGGGACCTAATTGGGAGGGAAGCAAGGACAGGATGGCAGCCAAGTCCTCCCTGCACACACACATCATTCCACAAACATTTATGGGACACCTGCTGGATTCCACACAGCCCAAACATTACATACCTCATTCCTCACCCCCACACACCTTGAGCACACACTTCCTTGCCCCCTGACGCATACTCCACAGCTCTCAACACTGCCTACCCCTCCACACACACACCACTAGCTCACCAACACCCTTCACACACCCCTCACCACACACCGCACATAAACTCACAGAGAGAAAAGATCACATAATCCACATGTCACACTGAAAAGTCACACAGCTCACACACCCACACTTCACACCACACACTCAAGCTCCCACCACGCGCATCACACACCCCACACTCACCTCCCCAACCACAGACACACACACATCCAATTAAATTCAACACACACACTATCTAGACATAGAGACACACCCTGCATAGATGACGTGCACACCTAGTGTCACACATTTGTGGACACATGCGGACCTGTGGCAGAGACAAGCCTGCCGGCACATCGCCTCCTGCTGCCCACGTGCACATGGACACACGGATACACACACACACACACACACACACACACACACACACACACACACACACTTAGCCGACCAGCCCCTGGCCTTGGACCCCTCGGTCCTAGCTGCTGCACCCTTCCCTACCCAGAGGGGCACACACGGCCATCACACAGACACATGACACTCAAACACCAGCCCCTGGGTCCAAATACATTTCCCAAGCAAGCCCAGGGTGTACCACAGTGACTCTGAGCCGCCTAGGCTGCGAACACACTCGGGCCCACACACAGCTCCCCACCCCCACTCCCCTCCACCAAGATGCCCATCGAATCCCTCCATCAGGCCCCCACAGTGGCTTTTCCTGGCTACACACAACAGCCGAGAACATACGCAACCACCCACAAACCCCCCCATGCAGGCTCACCCTACAACTCCACCCCATGGAGACAGACACACCGCATACACACATGTTCCCTGGACACACAACACTCGTGCATACAGCGTCCACTCCACACTCACAACACAGCCCTCCTAGCTGCACACGACAGGCAATGCCATACACACCATCTTCACACACACCGGAAACCCCCATGAGTCCCCCCCAAATTATCGCATTGGTGATGCCACACACAATACTTCATGACACATCACATATGATCACACACGAGGCACACCCAACACATGAAACGTGGCCCATCCTACACAAACACACATACACCCCAGACTCACCCAGCCCCGGAAACCTCCCACCACAGGTCACTGGCTCCAGATTGCAGTCTACTCCCCCACCGTTCCTCCATCCCAAGCCCCTACCTGCCCCCAATCAAGACCAGGACGGTGGGGATGGGGGGTTATAAGTTATGAACCCCAGGACTCCACACATAGTCCCCACCTACCTTAGATCCCTGGGCACCGCCCAAGGGCTGTACTCTCCATGTTTAGTCCCTTCGACCAGCGCCCACACCATGCCATGCCTGACAACATGGGGCAGGCAGAGGTCCTGGGGACACTGGCCCCATACTCTGAGTCTACCCATTCCTCACCCCAAAGCAGAGGCAGATATATGGGGAAGGGATGATCACAGGGTGAGACCCTAGAACAAAGATAGAGACCTAGAGAAATGGAGGGGGTGGGGTGATGGACAGACTGAGAGAGATGAATATGGGCAAAAGGGACCAAAAGAGAGAAACAGAGGGGTAGAGAGAGAAAATGCCCAGAAAGACTCAGAGAAGGCAGAGGAGAAACCAGAGAGTAAAGTGGGACCACCACACCAGAGAGAAACAAGAGGAGAGGGTGAGACTCCTAAAAGACTAGAGGACCTCTTACAAAGGAGGGAGGAAGGGTAGGAAAGCAGGAACCAGGTGGAAGGGGGTCCTGCAGAGAAAGACAAGCAGTAATAGAAAGAGGTGTTTGGACCCTGGGGTAGAGTCCCAGGTGAGGACTGAAGACCAGATGTTTGAGTGGGAATCTGGGTGGGGGGCACAGATGAGGCTGTGGAATAGAGGTGCAGGGGCTTGGGGTGAGGCTCCAGCTCTGACAGAGGTCTTGGTTGAGAGCTGGGGGTTCAGGTGTTCTGGGTGTACCTGGAGTCCGATATATATATCGGACTCCAGGTATATATATCTATACATCTACATAGATGTATAGATATATAGATATGTATGTATGTATGTATGGTGGGTGTTCTGGGGTTTGGGCAGGGTCATACACTCATCTGGAAGGCGGGGGGTTCCAGGTTTGAACAGAGCTCTCCGTGGGGACTGGGGTCCTACTCTGGACTAGGAGTTCAGCGCTTGGAGTGGAGTCCCAGATCCAAAAGGGGTTCAGAGTCTGGGGTAAGGTCTGGACTGTGAGCTGGAGATTCAAGGGCTCCGGGTATGGGCTGCAGTCCCAGCACAGGAGTGGAATTCAGAACTAGGGGAGGGGGCCCCACTTTGAGGAGGGTTCTGGGGCAGAGTGGACTACGGAGCTGGTGCCCGCACGCCCCTTGGAAGACCCGGCTGAGCGCTCGCCCGACACCCCGTCCTCCTCGTGCCCAGGGTTGGGGGGCCCCCTACCTGCAGGCTGTCGGCGCATGGCTGCGGCGGCGGCGGCGGCGGCTCGTCCGGCTTGAGGAAGACCTGCTGGCCCCGCCTGAGGAATTGGACAACAGCGATGAGGATGTGGTGCAGCACCAGGACCATGCTCGCAGCCGCCCGCCCGCCCGCCGGCCCGGCCGCTGCGCTCGGTCAGCGCGTCAGCTACAGCTCCGCCGGGTCCGCGCGAGGGTCCGCCCCGGCCCCGCCCCGGCCCGCCCCCTCCCCGCCCCTCGACCGCGCGGCCCCGCCTACCCTCCCGCCACCGCGCGCTGCACCTCTCCGCTCGTCCGACCTGCGGACCCCCCCAGGGCCCCCCTCACCGCCTGGCTCTCACCTCCCTTTTCTCTCCGCTCTCAAGACTCTTCCAGCTTGTCCGCTATTAGGATCCCCTACCAGGTAGCCAGCTCTCAGTTTCCGCTCGCTCCTCAGGCCTCTCGCCCCTCCTATCGCTACCTTGCCTCTCGGAGCCCCTCTCTAGTCCGATCACGTCCTCTCCCCCCACTTAAAAAGTCCTGGGGCCCGGCCAGAGCCCCAAGCCAGAGACCAGCGCAGTGACAGGAGGGGCAGAAGGCGGAGGGTAGAGTGGGAAGGGGCCGTTGACCCGATGCAGGGAGCCCCGGGCCGGCTCCTCTTCAAGTCGGGGAGAATTATAGAGGTCGCCCGGCGACGGACAGGCCTGGGGCAGTAGCCAATCTGTGAGGGGGACACGTGCGCACAGACACACGAGCGCACACACGGACAGGCGCACCATCTCGAGAACGGGGTAGCGGCCCCGGACCCCCTGCACTGGGCAGGCAGGTCTGCGTAGGCGTCCACGGAAGCCAGAGAGGGTGCGGGCGCCGGGGCCACACAGTCCACAGTTCGCCGGTGGGACCCGCGCGTCCGGAGCGCAGTTCTCCGCAGAGCGGCCTCTGTGCTCTGGAGCCTGCTGTAGCCGCGACGCTTCTGCGCCCTCTGCTGTCCTACCGCGGCAGCGCTGCCCTGCCCTGTTTGCCGTCTGCCTGGCGAGGAAGGTGGGGGGGCGGGGGGGCAGGCGGAGGGAGGAGGGGTCACCTGGGCTAGCTCCCTGCTGGACCCACCCAATTCCTAGCCTCCGCTTGCTGTGAAATCGGCTGGGGTGATAGAACGTGTCTGGACTGGAGGGTGTGCTTTGGATCACACCTGGGCTTTGTCAGCGACTTAAGCATGACCTTGGTCAGATTCCCTCCCCTTTCTGGGCCTCAGTTTTCCCATCTCTTTCATAAGACTGCCAGGATAATCAACCCCGATAAAGGTGGGAAGGCCGCCAGAGTCCCCTGACAGCCCTTGCTGTGGTCTGACCGGAATCCTTCCCACTGCACTGCAGGCCCCTTCTCGGCAACAACCCCCTTCCCCACTTGGAAGGTGACTCAGTGAGCCCCCAGCCTCCCCACCTCGTGGGGCTGATTCATCTGGGGCCTTTCTCCCTGAGGAGTGATTTCCTCCACGTTGAGTCACTGAGCCCGGTCCTGGACACAGTCCAGGCCCCTAACACAGGCTGGACCGAGCCCTTTCGGTCCCATCAGCCCAGGGGGGGCCCCTCCAAGCTGGGATTTCTCCTACCTCTGTTTGTGAGGCCCAGCTCTGAACATGCTTCTTCCTCTGCTCAGACACCTTTAAAGATTCCCTACCACAAACACCAGAAAGCCCAAATCTTCAGTCTGACATAGCAGACCCTCTGTAATTTAGCCCTGACTTATCTTCTCAGCTTTGAACCTCTTGCCGCCATTCCTTAAACTTATACTTCCTCCTGTACTCAATGGGTGACTGACTCATCCTCTAGACCCTTGCCCATGCCACCCTACCCCTGATGCCCTCCAGATCTTGTCAGCCTGCTTACCATTCAGGGACCAGAGGGCCACATCCTCCAGGAGGCCTTCCCTTAATGCTGCCTTAGTCCTCTGGGTCCCCCTTCTTGTGTCGTTCCTGGGAGCCACGTCTGGGAACGTGGGGAGGAGTACAAAGCTTTTCTGTCACTAAGTGATCCAGGCCAAGTCAATGTATTTTACTTTATCTTCAGATTGGGGCAATGTGGCCCACTTTTTAATACCCTAGAAATCGGCATGGGCTAAGGTGATGTAAAGGTTCTGGCCCAGATAAAGGCCTCCTTTCCTTTCTTGGCCTCAGTTTCCTGCTCTGGAAAGGGGGTGACCGATGTAAAGACTATGCAGAAGGACTGAGTCTGAGCCCAGTGTATAAAATGCTTGGCAAACCGTGAGCACCTGTTAGTCCTGGGCTTTAACAGCCTGGCTGGAACACAGGCGCCGAGGGGCTATCTGTTACAGCCACAGGACAGAGCTATTCGTCAGGGGAAGCCATGTCAGACCCCGCAGTCAAGTGCTGACCCTGGCTGACCCAGCACAGCCACTATCCCTTGGGCTCTCAGCTCTAGGCAGGACCTCCCAGCACTCACCTCCTAATAGGTTATTTCTTAAATCTTACTTGGCCATCTTATACTGCAGCTCAGTGGCTGGGGCCCCAGGTACATGCTCTGTGTCTCCCTCAGTCAGATTCACTCTGCATCAATCCTTCAGACTCAAGCATTCCTCCAAGGGTTTGCATCCTAACTCTGCCACAGACTTGTGGGATTCTGAGCAGGCCACTGAACCTCTCTGGACCTCATTTTACCCATCTGTGAAATGTTAATACACTAGATTTAATAAACAAACTTCCTTCTTTTGATGCTTGGCAGGATACAGAGGCTTTTTCGAAAACATCCCGCCATGTAATCCTTGAAAATCTCCATCCAGCCAGCTCCCAAGAGAGGCAGCCCAGGCTCCTTGAGATGGCAGAGTGGCAGGCCATGCCCAAGCCCTCATTGCCAGGAAGTGACTCTTCCTCCAAGGCTAGAACTCCTTCATTCCCCCCCATGGATCCCTGACTGCCAGCTCTTTATTCTGTGATTCTGTGTTGGGTTCTCACGCTGGCTCATGCCTGCGACTCCCCCACCTCAGGTACTTTTAAATGTTCCGGTGATTCTAATTTGCCGCCAGGTCTGAGAACAGAATGCTGAATGAGATACATACTGTTCCGGGCTCACCTCAGTCCCATGAAATCGAGGGACGGGCTGACCCCTATGGCCTGAGTGTTTATATCTGGAGCTGGGGGACTGTGTGTCCAAGGGGCTTTAAGATTTATTTCCAATACTTACTATGAGCCTCCCAGTTCAGTGCCTCAGGAACAATATAAGGTCAGATCTGTTATTAGCCACATTTTACAGATACAGACTCTGAGGCACAGAGAGACCAAGTAACTTGTCCACAGTCACACAGTTAGTAAGTAATGGAGCCAAAATTCAAACCTGGCCCATCTGGCTCCAATCTGTGCCCTAAATTCATGCTCCACATCTTGAAGAAAAGCATGTGAGAAAAACAGATTTTCCCACCTTTCCTTTTGCCCCCAACAATGCAGTGACTGAGGGTTCTATGCTCCCAGTCCCTGAACCCTCTGCCCGTCTCGGTCACAAGGAAGCCCGGCCCCAGGAATGCCTGCCCCAGCCCTTCTAGACCCTTCTTTTCATTGCCCCACCTTATGGGCCACTCTAACTGCCCCGTGGCCCACCTACTGAGTATTTTTAGGAAAAAGTGACTCAGCCCACAGCTTGTCAACCCGAGTACCAGGCCCCCCAGACCTCAGGCCCTGCCCAGAAACCAGGTCTTTGTTGTTCCTGATGATATTGACACCGCTGTGGGCCACCGTGTTCACAAAACACTTCCTTACCTGGGCCAGGAGAGTGGACTTTCCTGCTGGCCATCCCTCCAGCTGACCCCCAACGGACACCCAATCTGCTCTCACCCCCCCATGCCCACATGTCCTACTTCCACGAGCCTGTCTGGTGTCTGACATGCCTCCTCCTGTGGCTGCTAACTGTGGTCAGACTCCTGGAAGCCCAGGTTCAAATCTGAAGGAAGCCTGCCCGGACATACTGGGGGACTTCAGGCAAGGTCTGGCTCTCAGACAGCTCAGAAAAGTGAGCCTGGTTCTCACTGAGGGCTCAGGCAGCTCAGGTGGAGGGAGGCAGCATCCAGGTAGGCCTAGTTGGGCACAGAGCAGCTTTCTTGGGCAGACAGGCCTGCCTGGGCATGCCAGACCCAAGGACCGTGAACAAGGTCCAGATCCCAGTGTGGCAGGCTCCTCAGGAGACAGTGTGCATGACTCAGTCTTTCCGTGACTTGGGCGTGGAGCCCCGAGGGACTCTACCATCCTAGGCGCCCTGCAAAGGGACAATCCAAGAAGTGCCTGGAGGTGACATCCCTGCAGGTTCTGTGTCCATCTATAGCCTGTCCTGCATGCTTCAGCCCTGGCGAGAGCATGGGTATAAGCCGCCCTTAGGTACCTGTGTGTGTGTGTGCAGGTGTGTAAGGCCTAACACCCAGGCCTGTGAGCATGGTGTGGGTGAAGGCAGGAGAGAGTATGACTACAGGTTTGTCAGTTTATTTTTTTGTGAGGCTGTGTGATGCTTCCATGGTATAGCTGAGTGTGTGTGTGTGTGTACGTGTGTGTCTATGGAACGTGCGTATATGTATGTGTGTGCACACAGGTCTATGTGTGCAGGTGCAAGTGTGTACGTACACACGTAGGCATATGTGGACAGTTGTAGGTGTGCACGAGTGTCCACATATCAAAAACATGCATTTACGTGTGAATATGTGTGCAAGTGTGTGAGTATGCATGTATTCAAATTCACACCTAACAAGAGGCACTGCCAAGGCCACCAGCCCAGGTCAGCTCTGTGTGTCCCTTGGCTATGGCCCCAGATGTAGGGGTAGCCCTCACAGAGAAAGGATCCGGCCACAGGGAGGTGCTGGGAAAATACGGATTTTGGCTCTGGATGAAAGGTCCTGCTCCCAGAGCCCTGGGAGCAGCTGAGTGGGGAAGAGCACAGGCCGAGCAAAGTCAAGCCCAGGGGAATCTGGGGATGGGGAGGAGTCAGCCAAAGTCTCATCCATTTCCATGTTATTTGTATACACATTTGTCTGCATCAGATGGCCAGGTCCATGACCCTAGAGAGTTAAGGGAACCCACAGGATTCTGGCC